ATTGGATGATGTCCACCCAAGTTGGGGAAGGCAATCTGCTTTACTGAGTCTACAAATTCTAATGCTAATTTCATGCAGAAACATCCTCACACACCCAGAAACAGTGTTTAATTAGGCACCCTGTGGCCAGTCAGGTTAACACATAAAGTTAACTATCACACTAGATGAATAGATTTTACTGTACATCTACATATTTTACCATTATTGACACATAGCTATGGGTTAAAAAATATTTGGGCCAGATATGGTGACTCATGCCTATAATACCAGCACTTTGGGTGGCCGAGGTGGGAGGATTACTGGAGGCCAAGAGTTCTAGACCAGCTTGTGCAATATAGCTAGACCTCATTTCTACAAAAATAATAATAATAAAAAGTAAGCCAAGTGTAGTGGCATGTGCCTGTAGTCCCAGCTATTCAGGAGGCTGAAGCAAGAGGATTACCTGAGCCCAGGAGGTCAAGGTTGCAGTGAGCTGTGATTGTGCCATTGCACTCCAGCCTGAGTAACTGAGTAAGACCATTGACTCAAAAATAACAATAATAATAATAATACTATTTGATTTAATCTGAAACATTCTTTTTTTTAAAGACCAGCTTCTTCAAAACACTATCTGGCAGGTATCATAGTGATTATAAGCATAGACTCTGGAGTCAGACCATCTGGATTCAAATGTGGATCTATTACATGCTTAAGTGAGTGACCAAAGACACATATATACTGGTTTTCTAATGAGAAGTAATGAATTTACCTACAATTCAGAGGCTTAAAACAGTAAACATTTATTACTGTGCACTATGTCTGTGGGTCAGGAATTTAGAAGCCATTTAGCTGGGTGGTTCTGACTCAGGGTGTTTCATGAGGGTGCACTCAAGATATTGGGAGGGTCTGCAGTCATCTGAAGGTTTGACTAGGACTGGAGGATCTGCTCATTCACAGGCCTGGCAAATTAGTTCTAGTTGTTTTCAAGAGGCCTCAGTTCTTTGCCATGCTGGCCTCTCTGTAAAGGTGGTGTGTCCTCATGACATAGCACCTGGCCTCCCCCAGAATAAGTGATCCAAAAGACAGCAATAAGGAAGTCACAACGCCTTTTATGAACTAATCTCAGACATCACACATCATCACTTTTGCCACATTCTGTTAATTAAAAGCAAATAATTAAGTCCAACTCACAGTCAAAGGGAGAGAAATTAGGCTTCATCTTTTGAAGGAAGGAGTAATCAATGTTAGAATAATGTCTGAATAATTTATACCAAGCTGGGTCTAGCAGAATACTCATAACCAGTTGGAAATTTTTTATTCTTGTTTCCAAGGGCAATTGGCAGTTCGTTTAAAACAACTTGAGTTCCCAACTGGTTCAGACCTGTATTCCATTGAGTCTCCCCCATATTAATAAATGGCTTCACCATTCACATGGTGAATGACTCCTCACATCTTATGCGCAAGCCATCAGCAAGTCCTGCTAGCTAGCTCTAGCTTCAAAATATACAGGGTTGCCCAAAAATGTATACACATTTTAAGTATGGCATTCGTTCAAAAGATGGCATTAGTCAAATCAATGTTTGCTAGCGTTACCATGTGACAAGCAGGACAGTCAGAGAAAATGGTGAATGCACGGTTGCGTGAACGTCATACTACACATTGCTACTATAATTGAATTCAACTTCAAAAAAGTAATAGATAGATTACATCTCTTAAAATGTGTATACTTTTTCTGGTACCCTGGGTATATGGTCTACAGCCCTTCTCCTCAGCCTCAGAGTTCAGCCCACCACTTGTTCTCATCAATGTTTTTTTCCTTTACTACACAGTCTATTCTACACTACACAGTAACAGTGATTTTTTTTTTAAAAAACAACATAAGTAAGATCATGCCATTTCCCTGCTCCAAACATTGCAATGGATTCCCTTGAAAAAAGCACTCAAATGTCTCCCTCTGCAACTTCATCTCCCATGCACTTGGTCTGGGTCATTCCTTGCTAACTTTAATAGCCTTCTTGCTACACTTCCAGTTCACCAGGTTTGTTTTGATCTCATTGGCCCTTACTATCGCCTTTGCCTAGAATGCTCTTTTCATGGCCAACTCTCTTATTTCAGTCATGTCTCTACTCAAACTTGTCTCTTCAGAAAGACCTTGCTAAGAAAGCAGCTTAAATCTCACCCTTACTCTCTTAGTATGACAGCCTCTATGCAAAATCATAGTAAAAATTCTTGTGTTTTTTTGTCTTCCTCCCTCACCAGACTGTAAACTCTATGAGAGCAGGGAGTTTGTTTTGTTCATTGACATGCACCTTGTACTCAGAATGGTGTTTGGCATATAGTAAATACTTAATACATATTTGCTGAATGAATGAATGAACGAACAGATTTATGAGTCAATTGATTAATCCAGAAGTCACAAGATGGCAGCTAGTCTGGGTCACAGATAAATTATGTTAGTATGATGTTATCTGAGAGTTTTTTAAAATATGAATTAGTTATCAACTTTTATAAATTAATGTAAAAATTCCAATCTGGCTTCTTTTGAAAAATCAAGAGATGTTTGTATTTGTAGTCCCTTAATATAAAGTATATGATGTTTACAAGGGGAACCCAACAAAACCCGAATTATCTTTTGGAGGACAGGCAGGATTCTCCCATTAGGTAAATCTCCTAAGAACCCAGGATTCCCCCATTAGGTAAATCTGCTAAGAACCCATAGGCATCAATGTATCACCTAGCGTTGTGATAGGCTACGTTCAGCTTCAGTAAATTTTTTGGAGATTCTTTCAGTGTGTTTGCCCATTTCATGGTGGGTGATCGAGCAAACAACTTGTCTATACCACATTAAGTGTTCAACAGTTCTTGACCCAAAATGGCACAACCCCCATGCCCCACCTTCCCTGTTCACCTAATCTCACTCCAAGTGACATTTTTGTTTCACCGGATGATAAGAGTAGTTCCCAAAAGGAAGCATTTTGCCAAGGTGAAACAAAAAATGGTCAAAAAATGGTAAGAGGTGAAACAAAAAATGGTCAAAAAATGGTAAGAGGTGAAACAAAAAATGGTCAGTACTAAAGTATATCAAAATTGATGAGCTCAAAAAGTGTTCTGAGCAGTGGAAAAAGTGTCTAGTTAGGTGTACTGCATCAAATGAAAAGTACTTTCAAGGTGACTGAAGTTTAACATGTAAGAATAAATACACAACTTTTTATAAATAAATTCCAGGTTTTATGGAGTCCCCTTCATACTAAAGCTGCTCCTTTCAAACAAAATTTACCCTAGACCTCACGACTCCCTATTATATTCCTAACACCAATGACTTTCTTAGAACTGGCTCCCTCTTTTCCTCTGTGTTGCCTGTCTAGTCCTGCAGGCTTTCAGGACCTTGTATTAAGTAAAAAACCTGCCAACATTTGTCCCATATGTCTATGTAATTTTAGGCATCTAATTTAGAAATGAAATTGGTCCTGTATTGAATCTCCAAGTCATATTCATAATAACATATGCACGTTAGCCTTTGGTGTCATTCTAGTCATAAAATAATCAACTCAGCTTGACAAAGTCAGCAGAACCTTCACTACTAGTGAAAGGACAGAAATATTCAATTGTGTTTCAAAATAGTTTTCACTTTTGGAAGGTTATTTTTAAAACATTTTTTAAAACCCATAGATTTGAAATACTTTTCTTTATTTTCAAAACCTCATGAAGATTTGATCCAGATGTTTACCTAAAATTATTCATTTACCAGTATGGGACACACCCAGTTGTCCTAAGAAAGAAAACAACTGCATTTAATAATAGATGGTTGCATAGTCTTCAGTTGGATAAAGAAAAATGCATATATATATATAAGTAAGAACTATGGGTGGGGTTTTTTTTTTTTTTTTGCTCATTATGTAGCCAATGCTTGTCATATTTTAGAGGTCAGGCACTATTATTAAGCATCTGCTATGTGTCAGGCACTATTGTAGGCAGTTGTGGAGCTCATATTCTACCATATACTCTAGAGAGTCAAACAACAAAAACTAATCAAACAAATAAGTAAATGTTATAATAAATGCAATCGGGTTGATAAGTGCTGAGGATAAAAAGGAAAGTAGAGTGGGGAGATGGGGATGCCTCACCCGTTACTATACCTAGTAGTGTGATCAAGGTCATGCCGAAAAGAGATCTGAGCAAGATGTGAAGAAGGTAAGGGAGCTAGCCAAGTGAATCTGTGGGGAAAGAGCCTTCCAGGACCCCAGGAAAGACCTAGAGCAAAAGCCCTAAAGGAGGAATACGCCTGATGTGTTCAAGGAACATGAGGTTGTTTTAGCTGAACTACTGTGCCGCTAAATAAATGGACTACAGAAAAGACCAAGTGGATGAATGCACATGCTGTTTTTTATAGAGTATTACTCCAAGGGGTAGTTTGGTCTCCTCAGCTAAGGAATATCTATTATCCTATTTTAATTAAACTATATCTCAATTTGGCCATGACCTGAGCATCTGAAACTCCATGACTGTATGCAGACTCCACCTTCTAAGGGGAGCTTAAGCAACTATCTCAAGTTGGCCCTGCAGAGGACATCTTAGCTAAGCTACTGTCTACACGAGACACAGAGACCACCTAGTATATTCTGAACACTATACTACTGATTGCCATGTTACTTAGAAAAAAACTACGTAATTCAATAAAATCAAGCTATGCCAGCTTAAAAAACAATTCTATTTTTATCTTCAGATACCGAGCTGTTGCTTCTTAGAGTCGAATTAAAGGAATTGGGGTTCCAAACTGTACAGCAGTAGAAATTGTTTTAATTTGGGTGGTCCCTGTATATACACATGATGAATTTTATAAGCTGGCTGCATTTTCCTTATTCCTAACACACTTTCCTGTTCCATATACCGAACACTGATGCTTTTCAAAGAAGTCATCCATGAGAAAAAGAATAAGAACTAGAATTTATCTTACTCTGCATGTTAATGACTCTCCAACAAGTAATGCAATTACAAAGGCATCTCGAGAAACCCCCTAACAGAGTGTCCTGTGTCTTCCATGCAGCTGCTCGCAGAGGACTGGCCATTTGGAGTCGAGATGTGTAAGCTGGTGCCTTTCATACAGAAGGCCTCTGTGGGGATCACTGTGCTGAGTCTATGTGCTCTAAGCATTGACAGGTAGGAGCATCTATTTAAGCCAAGTGTATTTTAAACACTATGCTACTGATAGCCATATTACTTTAAAAATGAACTATGTAATTCAACAAAACCAAGCTATGCCAGCTTGAAAAACAATTCTATTTTCATCTTCAGATACCGAGCTGTTGCTTCTTGGAGTCGAATTAAAGGAATTGGGGTTCCAAAATGGACAGCAGTAGAAATTGTTTTAATATGGGTGGTCTCTGTGGTTCTGGCTGTCCCTGAAGCCATAGGTTTTGATATGATCTCGATGGAACACAATGGAAGTTATCTGCGAATCTGCTTGCTTCATCCCATTCAGAAGACAGCCTTCATGCAGGTAAATCTTACTTTCCTTTTTTCCTTTCTTCCCTTGCTTTATAAATATTTAGCTGTTTTTTCCCCTGTTCCCCACTGTTTGGGAAGTTATTGATTAGTGACTGTCCTTAGCATAAATTTAGAGTACTTAGTTGCAAAAAGCTAGGTCACAACTTTTCTAAGAACTTCCTGGATCTCAGGGGCACAGATATACCAAATTCACATGACAGAATTGAAGTGAACTTAAAACTCTTCCACCCAATGCTGCAAAAATACTGACGACTACTATATGCTCTGCATAAGACAACACAGCAGTTGTCAGAAGAGTGGATGGTCCAGCAAATGCTCAAATAGAAGTCACCCTGATATGGGTGGATTCTGAATGGCAAGGCTGCCCTCTTTCTCTGTCTTTAATACTAAAGACAAAGCTACCATTGCAAATAACCCTTCATCCTGGCTATTAACTAAAGAACATTTGATCAAGAAATAGGAAAAGAACAATGATGCTGGTCTCCAGAAGACAGAGGCTAAGCATAAAAGACTCTTCACAAAAGAATGGGTTAAGAAAATTTAATGTAAAGAGGAATGGTCTAGCTATTACCAAGGATTATTTTCCATTATATATATATATAAAGACTACATAAGACTTTATAAACTGGCTGTATCATGGTAAATAAAAGAATAAAGAAGGACATTCATGTGAAATTGAGAATGAGATTGTTTCCTCATTTCTTATTAGTAGGAAAGAGAAAAAAGAAGGGTTACATAGATTACACAAATTCTTTTCCAACACAGATATATCTAGAGGGAAAAAAAAAATAACAAAACATATAAAAACTAAAAGGCTTAAATCATAAGGTGTTTTGATTTTTTTAACTGAGAGTTCAGATTTATACATTACTAAGCTAAATGTTTCTTAACCTTTTTATATCTGTTGTTTCAATTAAACTTGCTAAAAAGTGAAAACTCCAATTAAGCATATATTCTGATGTAGTATTTCACCTAAAGATAATTTGCTTATGTGAGGACAAAACTTTGCACTACCAAACATTTCAAATTTTACCTTAAATTTGTATGCATAATTATAGCCTACTGTCTTAGAGAACTGAAATACATTTTGGGAAAATTTTGTCTTATTTAATATAAATATTTATTTGTTCAGCAGATATATCCCGAAAGATTCTAATAGTATTTATAAAATGGATCTACTTTAGAAGATAATTTTCTTAATGGACATTTTTTTAGTTTAACATTTGGTATATAAGATTTTCAAACAGAGGAGTATTAATCATAAAAATCCTCTCTTCCCCACAGTTTTACAAGACAGCTAAAGACTGGTGGCTATTTAGTTTCTATTTCTGCTTGCCATTGGCCATCACTGCATTTTTTTATACCCTAATGACCTGTGAAATGTTGAGAAAGAAGAGTGGCATGCAAATTGCTTTAAATGATCACTTAAAGCAGGTAAGAAAATTCAAATATTTAGTGACTTATAGTTATAACTATAATTGGAAATATGAAAATTATGATGAGAATAAGCTAAAATCATTATATACCAGAATATACTTCCCTGTTTTGCATCTGGCATTTTTGAATATGTATAGAATATTTTTATATTATCTACTTTTAGAGATAGTCTACACACTCTAAAAGTATCTCGAGAGAGCTATTACTTTGTAAAGATGAATCTCTGGTCATTTTAGTTCTAATTTACATTATTCAATTTAAAGCTCAGTATCCTGAGTTTCTACAAATGCCACTGACCTTTTGCAAACAATAAATATTCTGTTTTGGAAGATAAATGCTATGAGTATAACGCGCCATCTTTTAAGGATCTGACCATGGTTTTATTTCAGAGACGGGAAGTGGCCAAAACAGTCTTTTGCCTGGTCCTTGTCTTTGCCCTCTGCTGGCTCCCCCTTCACCTCAGCAGGATTTTGAAGCTCACTCTTTATGATCAGAATGATCCCAATAGATGTGAACTTTTGAGGTAAGAAAGGCAAAGTAGAAATTGTTTTGTAAACAAATGTCATTCAGAAGTGTTTCCCTTGATCACTTTTCTAGGCAGAAACAGAGTACAATTTTTCTTACACTTAGGAAGAGGGAGGAGCAAAGGGAACTGCCAAGAACACTTAGTAGAAAGCTGGAGTCATCAAAATGATGAGTGAGGGGCAAGACTGAATTATCAGGTCTGATTCTCTCTTGCGCTTTGTACATTCTTTCTTTGCAGACAGCCTCAGTACTTCCAGATGAGACTTTAGCATGAGACAGAGACAGATCACGAGAGAGACAGAAACTGACAGAGACAGAGAACATTATCAGAAAAGACCAGTGATCAATTTAGAACCATCGTATATGGCTAATTTTTTTTTTCTTCACAAAAATACAAAACTACAAGGTTTGGTGGCTCAGCCTGTAATCCCGCACTTTGGGAGACTGAGGTGAACGGATTGCCTGAGCCTGCCGGTTTGAGACCTGCCTGAGCAACTTGGCGAGACCTCATCTCTACAATAAATCAAAAAATTAGCCGGGCGTGGTAGCGCGCGCCTGTAGCTCCAGCTACTTGGAAGGCTGAGGCGGAAGGATCGCCAGAGCCCAGCAGGTTGAGGTTGTGGTGGCTGGGAGCAGCCACTGCACTCCAGTCTGGGTGACAGAGTGAGACTCCAACTCAAAAAAATAAAATAAAATAAAAAACTACAATGAATACATGCTCAGATCAGCATATTTTTCACAGTATGCTTTGGGGTTTTGTTTTACAGCTTTCTGTTGGTATTGGATTACATTGGCATCAATATGGCCTCTCTGAATTCCTGCATTAATCCTATTGCTCTATATTTGGTGAGCAAAAGATTCAAAAACTGCTTTAAGGTAAGAGAGCATTCAAAAAGCTCTTTGTACTATGGCATTAAATATAACCCTTTAAAACTATTAATATATCTATTAGAAAGATCTAGTAAATTATTGTATTGCTTCCATTGTATTATATCATGGATTCTTTTTTAAGTGACTTTTGATTGTAAATCACTTTAGTTGATTTTTGTCTATAAATCCTAGTTAGCCACTTCCTGCTGCCTCAGTCAGTTATGCTCATGGAGTTGCTCCCAAAATTAATAAAAATTACATGCATTGATGCCTGAAAGATGTCACATAAAATAAGAGTTAAACATTAATTAAATGCACCATTCCTTGTTTTTAGTAGGTTTTGAACTACTGGGCCACAATTTGCATTATAACTAAGTTAGTTTGTTTTTCACGTGGACTATGAGAATAGCAAGTCCAACAAAGAAATTGAATTTAAGTTTTACTTTTTTCTGTCTTCTTTGTATAGCAGAGATGTGCTGTTGCTTAATGTGGAATATGTATAACTATTTCTCATTTGGCTACTTGCATTTTTGTCACCCATTTATTTATTTGCCCCTTCAACATTCTAAAGTGAAATAATATATCCCCTCCCCTTCTATGAAAATGATCCATTTGTCCCTAGCATTTCAGTATTGGAAAGCCAAGAACTTGGTTTTCTTGTAAACACGAAGGAAATCTATCAAATTCTTTGACCACTCAAATTTTAGAGCTGTAAGAGAACTTTCATGACATCAACACTCTCATTTTATAGGACAAAAAAATAGTGGAGCTTCCATTTTCTTATATGTATAGTTTCTCAGAGAACAAGCAGAATGAACAAAGTTTTAGATTTTTTTTAAAAATCCAGTAAAAAATGGGATGAATCGTATATTTTATGTTAATGTATAACAATATTGAAAAGACACATGAGAATAACATATGGCTGAAAAAATAGCAAAGTAACATTAAATTCATTGACATGGAAAGATGTTTATGGCATGTCAAGTGTGAAAAAGCAGGTTATAAAATATATGTATAGTACAATTTCATTTAAAAATTATACCCACACTCCCAAGCACATGCACATATATAGTCATGTATGTGTTAATATTTCTATTTGCATGAAGAAAAGTCCTGAATTATGTGTTTAAAAAATATTGAGTACTTATAAAATAATCAAGATTAAATATTCAGAACTAAAAGTGAATTTCCCTTGGTGAGAAATTTTAATTACACTGTTTCTTTCCTTTCTGCATTTTTTTAGTTAAAAATTATTATATGCTGTTAATGTAGTTATATATTTTTAAGGGGGAAAATATGAGTATGGCAAGAAAGGGCCCAAGCAAAGAAAGTCAGAACCCTAATGAGTAGGAAGAGTTGTGAAATGTGACTGATGTAAACATATAATGAGTTACTTTGTTTTGTACAGTCATGCTTATGCTGCTGGTGCCAGTCATTTGAAGAAAAACAGTCCTTGGAGGAAAAGCAGTCGTGCTTAAAGTTCAAAGCTAATGATCACGGATATGACAACTTCCGTTCCAGTAATAAATACAGCTCATCTTGAAAGAAGGAATATTCACTTAATTTCATTTTGTATATTTTGGATAGAAGTCATTAAAGCAAAATGAAACATTTGCCAAAACAGAACAAAACAAAAAAACTGTATGGTTGCACAAAAACAATGTAAAAATATTAAGAGTAATTATTTTAACACTCATAGCTACACATGATATTTTATGAGCTGTCTACAGCATGAGAAGAAAATCAGTAGTAATTAAGAAAACCTCATTGAGAAAGCACTTAATTTTTTACAGTTAGCACTTCAACATAGCTCTTAATAACTTCCAGTATATTAATACGCCACTTAGATTTTAAAATGAGTTCACTTTTAGAGGTTTCATGGAATTTCATTTTAAAAATTTAAATAAATAAAGAGCTCACTCAGAATTCCTATTAGAACTCAGAATTCCTATTTTTTAAAAACAATTTTTAAACGAAGTTTACATTATTCAATGTTAAAAAATTAAACTTTTAAAACTCCTTTAAAACAACTTTTTTATTAACAGTGTCACACCACTCATTGGACTGTCACTGGATGCTAATATACAAGCAGGTTAGTGCTGGTATTTTTTGGACATTAGACACATTTAAATGATCAGGAGGGAGTATTGGAAAGAGAAGTCAAGGCTAAGTTTTTTAAAATCATTACACTATTCAGAAAAGGCCAAATGACACAACGAAAAATAAAGAGAAGGCTTGAAATGCTGTCCCAAAAGACTTTTTTGATATCTCTCATTCATATACTCTGCAAAGAAAATACTACCTACAATTTTTTTCAATATTATTGAAATATTCTTCTTCTTTCACGGTTATGTTTAAACTTTTTGTTTTGTCATCTGTAAATACTTAGCTACGTATGCTACATGTAGCTGATTAAACAAAGGGCAGGCCCCAGTGTTCATAGCTTTATGATGGAGAGATGCCAGTGACCTTGTAATGGACAAAATGTGAATTGCCTGGTGCAGTATCCACATGGCAAAGAGGCAGGCAGCAACCCCCCTCGCCCATGCCATAGTTAAAATGTTCTCTAGCATATGTATAATAATAGAGTTAAAATACTATTTTTAAAAATCACACAGATTAGTTATTTTAACAGCTACCTGTAAAGTTTATAACTAATTGTTTATATTATTTTTGTAAATAGCCAATAGGAAAGTGTTCTTGACATGGTGCTTTTCTACCAATTAGAGGCAAAACTGCTTTTTGAGTCTGTGAGAACCTCTTAAATTTGTACATTCTTGCCTCATTGTTTAATCTCCTCGATGCCTTAGGTTAACATGGGATGAGATGTGTGTGAAAGTATGTACAAGAGAAAACGGAAGAGAGAGGAAATGAGGTGGGGTGGGAGGAAACCCATGGGGACAGATTCCCATTCTTAGCCTGACGTTCGTCATTGCCCCGTCACATCAATGCAAAAGGTCTTGATTCTGTTCCAGCAAAACGCAGTGCAATGTTCTCAGAGTGACTGTAGAAATAAATTGGGCCCAGTAGCTTTAACTCTGTCTTAAAATATAACAGAATTTTTACTTTTTTTTTCTTTCAGTAAGCTGGGCCACATGTTGGAAATAAGCTAGCAATGTTGTTTTCTGCCAGCAACTAATGTGATGATACAGTAAACCAAAACCCAAATATGAGGCCAAAAAGAAAGAACAATAATTAATTCATATGCCACATGAAATCTATTTGCAAATCATCCACAAACTTCTTTGTAATTTCTTCCCAATCACTTTTCAGATGATGTCATCATAAAAGACATTTTAGTCTCTCGATTTAAGTTAACTTTGGTTCACTAACATTTTCACAGTTTATTAATATACTTTTATTTTTATTTAAAATTTTGATCATTTTTATTTCCATGTACCGAATTTTTACATCTTAATACTCTTTGCTTCTCCGTGTCAGTATCACAGTCTGTAATCATCTTACCAAATTTTGAAACTACACATAAAGAGTATACATGAACTATTTATAATAAAATTGCATTCAGTAGCTTTAAAAAAAGTTTATTCAAAATTTTAGCATGCTGATAAAGGTTGGAAAGAAACAATTGTGATTTCCTTACATAAATAAAACCAAGTAAAAAAAGGCGCTACTGTTTAACTTTATTTTATTTAATTAATTAATTTTTTTTTTTTTTTGAGTTGGAGTCTCACTCTGTCGCCCAGACTGGAGCGCAGTGGCCGCTCCCGGCAACCGCAGCCTCGACCTGCTGAGCTCCAGCAATCCTTCCGCCTCAGCCTTCCAAGTAGCCAGAATTACAGGCGTGCGCTACCACACCCGGCTGATTTTTTTTTTGATTTATTGTAGAGATGAGGTCTCGCTGCCCAGGCGGGTCTCGAACCCGCGGGTTCAGGCAATCCACTCACCTCAGCCTCGCAAAGGCGCGGGATTACAGGCTGAGCCACCGAGCCCGGCTACTGTTTAACTTTAAAACATACTTTCTAGCATTCAGAACTGTTTAATATAGCAGCAGACATACATGATGTTAATATGGATGTTACAGCTCAAAAAATTTATAACTGGTTTTGACGTATTTTTTCCTTTATTGCCCACTGCTAATACATACGTGTGTAGGTTTGAGCACTTGTTACTATTGACAGCCTACATATGGCCAAAGGAATACAATTTATAGCAAAACATGAGTGTGCTGTAGCCAACTTTACAAAATTGTAATATAACCATGTAAAATAATTATATATTTTGTTTTTCTGCGGTCACTTAAAGTGACTGCAGTTGCTGATTCCTTATTATATAAACAAAACCAATAAAAATGTAAATTGTTTAAGAAAAAAGACCAACTTATTTTCACTGTGCAGGTTCTACTAATGCATTAAATGCTAATTGACTAAATATTTAAAAGAAATCCAAATTTGACAAGTGGACATTATTTATTTTAAACATATAATCATCAAGGAAGTATGAAAGTTGTTAAATTAAAATGCCACATGTCTAGTCTCTGGATTGTGTTGTTATGTTTCACTGTTGTGAGGAAACAGATATACAGAGAGACATACAACTTCCCAAGGTTGATCATCTGGTTGATAGTTCCCAAGGTCTCTTAGGTCTTTCTTTCTCTGGTTACCTGCCTTTGGGCCATTTCACTGTTTAAACATCTTTGTACCTTCGCAAAGGCAAAAAGTTGAAATGAGATTTGGGGATTGCTCATTTCATTTCACAAGTTTCTACTGAGTGTTTCCTGAGTGCGAAATGGGTTGAAATTAATAAAATGCAGGGTCCCCACTTGATAAGAAACAGGGATAGTAACAAACTTTAATACAATATATTATTAAATGAGCACTAAATGACTGCACACTAATTGCTATGGAGGTTCACTTGTCTCTTAGCACATAATCTCTTTCTTTGCCAGCCAAAAATAATCCAGAATTAGCATTATTCTTTTTCCATATAATTATGCCAGTCTCATTCTAGTAGTCCAGACGTTTCTATTCTTTATTCTTGACCTTTGCTGGATTTCAGCTGCCTAATTAGAGCTGGGCACTTCTGAATCCCAGGAGCTTTTTGAGAAATACAGAAGTGTAACAAGAAGTACTCTCTTCAAGGAGTTACCAAAAAGAGCCTACTGTCTCTGGAACAGTTCATTGTTAAGTAATTATAATAATAATGCCCATGCAATTCATTATAGCAAATATAAGTGGAATAAATGCAATTTAGATTCTTAGAAGAAAACCACGACCAGCTCTAAGATACAGATCCTGCATCCAAAAAGTGTAAAATATACATGCACACACCCACTTACCCATTCCATGATTTAATCCACAAGCCTACCCTACCCCCCCACAAGCTATTATATTTTTGATACAATTTATGCTCTTGCCAAACTCCCAAAACAAGAGGCTTGCATTAACTCAATAGCTACTCAAATACACAAATTTAATTATAACTTCATCTAGATAGGACTTCTAGCCAAACTCTCAAAGCATTTCCAAAAACTGCAAATCTTCAATAAAATTTTGGCTTTCTAGACTAGAAAATTTTCCATTTATTTATAAGATTACTGAACATACCTCCAATACTGACAAAGCACTTAAAGCTAATAAAATTAAACTAAGGGGTGACTCTCTAAACCAACCTCCTCTAATCTAACTATACACTTCCTGTATATAGCCTGCAGAGAACAATGACTTTGGAGTGACTGACTTCAGGCATTACTAGTCAGCCTCAAAACATTAACAACTCAACAGACTGAATAAGGGTACCTAAACTGGGAAGTCCAGGTGAACACTTCCATGATTCAAGCCTCACTTGAGCACAGGGAATAACTCCATCATGTAAGAAAGGAAATAGCCGGGCTCGGTGGCTCAGCCTATAATCCCGTGCCTTTGGGAGGCTGAGGTGAGTGGATTGCCTGAACCCGCGGTTTCGAGACCCGCCTGGGTAGCGAGACCTCATCTCTACAATAAATTAAAAAATCAGCCGGACGTGGTAGCGCGCGCCTGTAATTCCGGCTACTCGGAAGGCTGAGGCGGAAGGATCGCCGGACCCCAGCAGGTCGAGGCTGCAGTGGCCAGGAGCGGCCACTGCACTCCAGTCTGGGCAACAGAGTGAGACTCCAACTCAAAAAAAAAAGAAAGGAAATAAGTATAATGAAAAAAAAAAAAACCCAAAGTCAAAAAACATGATATCCTTAATTGTTTCTGCAATCTAATTGGCCTCAAGTCTAATATATCAGGGTCTCAGCTTAATTATCTATAAAATACAGATATTAATATATCCACTAATTCTTACATCCAGTCAACACATTTTTAGTGTATGTACTATGTAACTGTTGTTTACCCACTAAAGTATAGAAATGCAAATATGCAAAGACCCCTGGTCTCCAGAAACTCACAATCTCATGGGGGGAAGGACAAATAAAAGCAGTTAATATATTCTAAGTACTCGAATATAGATATGCACATAGCAATAATCCTGGAGTTTAGGAAAACTTAACAGAGAAGGTAGTACCTGAGTTGAGTCTTGAAGTTCTCCAAGCAGATAAGGGGCCTTCTGTTACTACTGGAAAAATGATTATAATGTTAAAAACTAAAACGTGTGAAGCAGCATGACCAATTCAGGTGAAGAGCTGACCCTTAACATGCTGGTGAGGGGTTGTGAGAGGTGGGGCTGGAGAGATAGGTCAGGGAAGTGTTC